TCGGTAACCAGGGAAGTGTACTAAGCAGGCGCAGAGATGCGCATGGCGGGGCAGGAGGCTCTCCTGAAACACTTGCCTCCCCCCAGCTTGTGACTCTGCCGTGTCCTTGAAATACCGCGCTGGGCTGGATGTGCCACGGGGCTCTGGAGGCACAACGTATTTATGTATTTTTTTTTTTTTTTCTGTCCTTGCAACACTTTTCGTTTCGCGTGGCAAAGATCTCGGTCAAGTGCGTGCGCTTCCCCAACTCCAGAACGGTTGCCGGGGCTTGAAGCGTTTTCATTGACAATTTTATGATGGAGTGGTGGTGAGACCGGGGAGGAGGAGGACGTCGATTCAGCAGGGAAACGGGGAAGTGGCGCGATGAGTTCTCTCTTCTTAAACCTGTTCTTACTTGCACCGCGCTGCATCTGCTGGCCGTGGAACACCGAGGTCTTGCAAGAAAGAGGGGGGGCAGCGGGCAACGTCCGTGACGATGGGATACGCAAGAGTAGGTGGAGATTTTACTCCTCTGTTTCTATGGGATACCTCTAAGGAGTTTTAGAGCTCCATCTGTGCATAATTTTCAAGGAGGATTCAGGAATTCGTGTAACACTCAGTAAAGTTTTGGATGGTGCTTTCCTTTTTTATAAAAGGAATTTGTAGCCAACAGCAGAGAGTTGTTTCTGTGATGTGAGGCCATAGTAACTTTAGCATTGCTGTCCCTTTGATCTCAGAGAAATGTAGGTTTTGGTTTGCTTTCTAAAAAGTTTTTTTTAAAACTACAAAGAAGTTGAGTGCTAAAATGCATACTGTCTGTATTAATGGGAATGCTCTTTAAAATTCTTTTTGCTAATTAGAAAAATACACTTCTCGCATTAACTCTCAAGAAGGCATTATCCTGGTGCAAGTTTTATGAGAACTGAAATTCTGGGACCCTTCAAATTCTGTGCAAGGAACCCCCTGAAACTGTTGCCCAGAGCATCCTCAGGCAGCTGCAGTTTTCTTCCCCATTATGATGAAGAGCGCTTCCGATTCTTAGCTATTCTTGGAGTGTGTTCTTTGTAGGTAGGCTTCACATAGGCCTTCCTGCATTTAATATTTTTCACATTAATGTCTGAGTAACTGTACTTTCAAGACATTTACAAAATGATTATGAAAGGGTTTTAAAGCACAGTTAGCAAGATTGCGTCTGGAGTGCGCAGATATGAAAAGTGGCATTCTTCCTGGCTTTTTTCTTCTTTCTCCGAAATTTAATATAGGAGAACATGAGGAACTTCCTCTCTAATGCTGTTGTCTTGAGGCAAACCAAAAAAGCAAATAGAAATATAACTTGTTATGGAAGTT